CCTATTTGACACATAATGTACATAGTCTTAAAAGCCGCAATGAGAGGAAAAGGCTCAAGGCTAATCCAGTGTTCCCCTCGCCGCAGATTAAAAAATATTCCCTGCAGATTAAGGATGGCGTGAGGACAGTGACTGAGGTCTGACCGATCTGACCCACTGAACCGAAGCCTCTCCTCACTCAATCACACTGCAGTAAAGACATGCTGACACCGTCCTGTCCTGAGATTCACTTAAAGGTCATCCAGATCAGGTTTCTAACCACAACAGCAATGGACAGGCTGTGATTACGATAAGAATGTCCACATGGTCCTGAGCTGTAGTCTGGCTTTGCATTCATGACACTCCGACAGCAAGAAAACTACTGTGTGCATTCAGAGACTCAATAAGCTACGTACAAGACTTCATTCTTAATAATAAGCTCAATTATTTGAGAAAGTTTAGCTAGAATGGGGAATATACACTACTGGTCAAAAGTTTGGAATAATTAAAATGTTGAAATATTTTTTAAAGAAGTCTCGTATGTATGCTCACTGTTTCTGTTTTCTATTTTATTATATTTTAAAATGTAATTTATACCTGTGACGCAAAGCTGAATTTTCAACATCATTCCTCCAGTCTTCAGTGTCACATGATCCTTCAGAAATCATTCTAATATGATGATTTGCTGCTTAAAGGGGTCATATAATGCCATTTTTGTACAAGCTAGTATGATTCTTTAGGGTCTAAATTAAAAGTTTGTAATATACTTTAATTAAAAATTCTCATTAGTATTGTAAGAAAACCAGCTTTATACTGACCCTCGTTTATAAAGCAGTCTGGTGAGAAATGGTTCGCGCAAACATGAGAGCATTGACGTTGCTCGTGGGGAATATTCCCTTCGAAAACAAACTCAGCCACTGCGTCTTCAGCGGTTCGGATTTAGGAACATTAAAATGACTGCTGTGTTCGTTATTACACCCAAGAACAGAACACCACAATCGCTTAGACGCCATTCTGCTCATAGACAGTGCTCCAGCATATCAACAATGACCGCGCCGCTCCGCGCAGACTATGATTGACAGATCGCTCACGAGCGAGGGCGGGTCTGTGTTGAAACGGTGCTGTCAATCAACAATCGTGGGAGGGGCTTCCGACCATGTGACGTCACAAAATCGAACGGCTCGATTTGAGGCAGGGGAAAACATATAAGGAGATTAAAACAAAAACACTGGATGGATTTTTATCATTTTATGATGGTTGTGTACAGGCACACATTTCAGTACAATCAACTTGTAAAAGTGCATGTACCATTATATGACCATTATATTAATAATGTTTCTTATTATCATCAGTGTTGGAAACAAGGTTTTTGCTGTTTAATTATGTGGAAACTGTGACTTTTTCAGGATTTGATTGGAATAGAATCGAATTTCTATTCAGATTTGAAATTGAATAGAAAGGTCAAAAGAACACATTTCTGTTTTCTTTTTTGTATCATTATTCACTGGAACTTTTGATCTTATTTATTTAAAAAAATAAATCTTATACTTTCCGCAAACTTTTGAATAGTAGAGCATCACATTTTCCACAGAAATATGAAGCAGCACAACTGTTTTCAACATGGATGATAATTAGAAAATGTCTCTTGAGCAGCAAATCAGCATATTAGAATGATTCCTGAAGGATCATGTGACACTGAAGACTGGAGTAATGATGCTGAAAATGTATCTTTATCATCACAGGAATAAATTACATCTGAAATGATATTCAAATAGACAAGAGTTCTTTTAAATTGCAATAATATTTCACAATATTACTGTTTGTACTGTATGTTTGATCCAATAAAAGCAGTCTTGTTGATAAGAGACTTATTTCTAAAACGGGAGTACATGTTTTCTTTGTGTGGAAAATGCCACAGCAGGAAGATCTCATACTATTGGACTCTGGTTTGACCTGGCAAGCTCAAATAACCAAACCTGCGTCATATGGGTAGTTTTGCTCTGACGCGCTGACAGGACTGATGTGGCACCCTGCGTGCAAACAGGTCAATGTTCAATCACACACTAACTGAGCAATGCCATTATTCCTTACATGTCTGTAATATCAGAAAATCATAATTTTTCTCATTCCAACTTGGCAATAAATTAAGATCCAGGGTCTGTTTTTGTAATAAATACGTAAATGCGTCTGATAAGCTCTGTCTCACGCACACAATGAACACACTGTGTATACAAGCACGCACACAAGCACTGCACCTTAATAGTGACAGTAAGAATATGTTGTTTGTATATGGGCTGGAGATAGAGACTGACAGAGGAGTCTTCAAAGCCAGAGAAACACTGATCTGGGATCTGATAAAACGCCATTTCTCAGGCTGCTAGTTGAGAACAGTGGCACAGTGAGAAACGCAACACAGACAGAAAATATCTTGTCTGATATACACCCAACCACAACTTCCTTTATGCAGGTTTGCATTGCTGGTGACAGTGCTTGCCAGTTTGGAGCTATTGCATCTAATGATACTGGTATATATTGAAAAAGGCGAGACCGGGGAAAGTTGTCACACGTAGATGTTGACTAGATTTCAGTAACTATGAAGGCATAGCGGAATTTCAATGAAATTTCATCCAGCAAAAAAGGTTCATTGTCAATAGTGTAGTGGTGCACTAAGATCCGTTCACACAGAAGTCACTTTAATATCAAACTGTTGGTCATAGCAAACTGTGAGCAAACTCAACGGTATGATCATATTCTGTTGGTCAACGTGGCGAATTAGCGTGAAAAACTTGAAACGGATACAAAATCTGTGTGGGGAACTTGCTCGAAATTTCAGATCGTATGGATTCCTGTTGAAATGACTGGTTTTTGTTCATGACTGAACCTTAAGGTTTTGAATGAACTCAAATCAAAATCAAATTTATTTAAATCACAATATACATAGTTTCAAAGCAGTTTTACAGAAAACCATGATGTTAATGTTTTTAGTGCTGTCAAACCGATTAATCGCATAATTCGCATCTAACATAAAAGTTTGTAAATACAGAATATAACACACACGCACACACACATATACGTATATATATATACACACAAAATAATTAAGGCAGCAACTTTTTTTTACTAAGTACAATCAACTTGATTGTTTAAGTCATTTCAACTTAAATTGCATTAAACTGACTTTAAAAATGAGTTGAATGAATATTGTATAACTTATAAAAAAAAGTTGAAAATTGTTTTACTTATTTTGGAGAGTTAAAGCAATGTAAAAACATATGTTGGCAACTTATTGATCATCAATTTTTTTTTTAACATATAATATGCGATTACGATTAATCGATTTGACAGCACTAGTTTTAATATCTTTATGCCTTAGTTGAGAGCAGTATATATAGTTTACATTTTGCGATGATACAAGCAGTTAAGTCAAAAATCATCTTAAATTTTGTACAGAAGATGGTGGGTAAACCTGTGAGACAGGTTAAAATAAAACAACAATGTTCAAGTAAATGTTTAGATGTTAACAAGGATGTTTTTAGGTCTTTTAAAAGGAGTATGTAAGCTTGGGGCAAGTTGTCACATGCTGTTGCTGAAAAGCGTGCTTTATGGCAAGTTCAAATGTGACAACTTACTCCAACTATTTAGTAAATAAACTATCTTATTTTCATGTGCAATAATAATGATTGAAATGTTAAATTGCTTTTTACAGCCAAGACTTCCATTTCACTGGTTACCTAACCATACAGGTCCAGACAAACAGACCCAAAAATGAAAATTCTGCCATCATTTACTCACCCTCATGTAATTCCAGACCTGTATGACTTTCTTTATTCTGCTGAAGACATATTTTGGGAATATTTTGAAGAACCAAACCGTTTTGGTTACCATTGACAAAAAAAACTTTCCAAAAAGGGATTTCCATTGCGATGTAATGCAAAAAACATTTTGAGTTCCCCAAAGAATGTTTCTGTTAAAGGGACAATGTGTACTTTTTTATGTATTTTATTATTTTAAATCAATATTTTTATTCATAAATATGTCCTCAATGGTGTACAAATACCTCTGCCAATTATCCGACATATCCTCGTAAACGAAGAATTTATACATGGGACGGGTAGGTCCACTGAGGCTTCCATGTAGTTCCGCCATCTTGAAAAACTATAATAGCAGAGACATTGCAAATCCTCGTCGCCAGAAAAGTCCAAAATAGATCGTAAAAGGAAACGTGACCGGAAATTACAAAAAACACGAGTTAATGTCGGGATAGCTTTTTCCAGGTGGATAGAGCTAATGCAGGGGAAAGATTTCAAAAGAGACGCTGAAATTGCCTGCTTTCTTCTCGACAGGTAAGTCAACGTTACAGTCTTAATTACAAGCTTTTTTTCATTGTTTGGTTGTGTACTTTATTTTATAGACAGATGAACATTTATAGTTAAAAGTTGATGATGATATCTAAAAATGCACGTACTTCATAAATATAACGAATAAAGAAGGCATAACTACTTATTACAATAGTTCATGTTTTTCACAGTCAGTAATTCATACGGTAACATTCGTTTGTTCGTTGTGTCAAGTTGCTGTTTGTTTGAAATAACAAACCTGTTCACCCGAAGGAACACTCGACGAAGTGCTATTAGAAGACATCCTGTCATAGCTTTTTGGTACATAATGGCTACCGTAGATGCAACGCGCATTTGAAAAAGCGAGGCGCTGGAGAGCACGATTAGTTTGAATGCAAAATACATTTTCACCACTAGATGGGAGAAATTCCTACACATTGTCCCTTTAACAGTTCTGAAAATAACCTTGTTTTCTTAGTGTGAAGAATATTTCAATGATCTGAATAACCCTTTTCCACTGCAAAGAATCTTTCGTGCAATGGAAAGGTTCAATGTATATTATAAGTTATTCATGGAACCATTCCAATAAGGAACCTCTATTTTAAAGAGTGAAGAAAGTAAGTCATACAGTTTTGGAAACGACATGAGGGCGACATTTTCATTTTTAAGTGTGCGAGCACTCACCTTTGTGCGGCCATTGATGACATAATCCCCCAGCTGCCCACTGACCGCACTGCGCATGATGGCCTCATCGATGTGAGCCATGAGGACTCCTATGTTCTCGCAGCCTGGCTCGTTGCCTTCGACCCAGGCAATCTGGTCCCCACGGATGTTCTTAGAGGGGATGCTCTTTTGGCTGACTAACTGGCCGCCTCTGAACTTTCCGCTGTGATTTAGTGTCTCCACTTCCTCCAGAACCCTACCGCCCAGTCGATCGCTCAGGAAGGCATCTTTGACGCAAATGCCGTAATACTTCATACAGGGAACTATGTACTGCTGAGCCATGTGCTCTGGGGAGCAGCCTGCACTGGGGGCCACCACAGGTGGCACCAATCGAAACTCAGCCTGCCCCGGGGCCGCATGGTTCATTACAGCTTTGTGCCCATTGTGATGGACCCAACTGGGGGATGACAGGGAGCTGTTATTGTGTTGGTGATTGGCTGCAAGGGGAGCAACAGCCTGTGTGCTTTTACTTGAGTCTGTTCTAAGGCCCATTTCAAACCTCCTCCTTTTGCATTCAAGTGAAGGAGAGTCCGGTGCATTGGGCGTTTCCGAGGACCCCATTCCGGGACAACCACCATGGGCCCCGAAGTCTCTGTTTTCCTCATCTTTTCTCCTCTGGTGCTGGAGTTGTCTGAATCGCACATCTCCACAAGGTCTTTTTGAAGTCCTGTCCCCGTGAGAAGCGAGGCCCACATGGGGGGTCTCCACCAGTCCATTCAGATGTAAACACCCGCTTTGCTTCTGCGCAGGGACATCATGATAACTTCCTTCAGCTGTAGGTAAAGGGGACACCGCTCCTCCACCATTATACAAAGGCAACCCACTCTTCAACTCCTTCAAAAGTGTGTCCCTGTGAGAAGCGAGGCCCCCATGGGGGGTCTCCACCAGTCCATTCAGATGTAAACACCCGCTTTGCTTCTGCGCAGGGACGTCATGATAACTTCCTTCAGCTGTAGGTGAAGGGGACACCGCTCCACCACCATTATATAAAGGCAACCCACTCTTTAACTCCTTCAAAAGCGTGACCCCGGATCCAGATCTAGACGCATGTCCAGCCAGCAGTTCCTCCGCAGTGGTCGCGTTAAGACCCATTATATTTACAGCGCGAGACTCACAACAGCCATTGGCGACTCTCTCTTGCGGTGAACTGATACTCTCGCGCCCGTGTGCATTTAAAAGGTCCGTGTTTTCCAGTCTCTCCATGTCATGACGTCTACTCCTGGATGCTCACGTAGCTCACGTCCAATCCTCATTTTCTGCAGAATCGGCTCTGCTCATGCCTGCCTAGCGGCGCTGTTTTAAACTTCCCACAGTTCAACACGAATACGGTGCTTTCCTTAGTTGTTTAATACAGAAGTGACCATTAACTAGTTTCCATGGCTGTTTATTCCCAGAGCACGGGGTTATGAGCATCTGAAGACAGAGAGTAACAATGGTTAAATAAATCACGTAAACATTCATAGACACGTTAAAACGGACACGTATCGTAAATCTGCCCAGTCACACTCTATGGTTTTAATGATTAGGCCTATGTCAACCACATGTAGCCTATTATGGAAATATGAAACGTAGTGTAATGAAACAACGAATAATAATTCGGTTGAAGCAGGCAGAAATCCATTTATCTTCAGAACAAATTAAGTCCAGACATTCTTCATAAACTTACCTACAATAAAAGCGATCAATTAAATAATGACGTGTAGCTATGGCCTACCACAAATGACAAATATTAAAATAATTATAGGCTAAACAAGATATGATTAAAAATGGTTTAATAAAATGCATGTAATGAAGTAAATGTAGCCTATATGAAAAACAGGATAAAATCTACTCGAAAGTAGGCTAGTGTTCTTTAAAATATGGCTCATATAGCCTGTAAATCTTTAATTTTGATGTACTACACTATTCAGGCTTACTGCATTAACGGACAAATGGGGACAAAGTTTAAACGCCAAAAGCTTAACGCTCTACAATATAATTTTAACCAAAATAATAAGTAGCCTAACAAAAACTAGGCTATTTATCAGCTGTAAGTGAAAATAATATTAAACCAGTGAAATGATCGGGCATCCAATTCATTAGTTTAATACTTAAATGTGTAGCCTAAGCTTGCCTATACCATCAATGGTAAGCTGTTAAATATATAAAACGTCTGTTTATAAAGTTAAATCAAAACCTTAAATACAAAGACTGAAACGAAAACGAAAAATAGGCGTAGGCTATTTTAGACTAGTGTACTTACCTCTATATGATAAAGTCACTATAGACCAGCCGCGATTGTAAAGAATTTCCGGTGTTCTCTCGTCCATATCCAACACAAGCTCATTTCAGATTAGACAAATAAAAACAACGTTTTCACAGACAACACTGCAATTTCTGCCCATACAACCCTTGCTGAACAAAGAGTAAGTAGGCTTCGTATCTGATTTAACACTGTGCGGGTAGCGAAATTACACAATCTACTATGGCCGAAACCTCACTCATTAATATTAATTTACGACGCTCTTGAAGCGTCCAATCAGGCAACCTAATTAATATTCATGAGCCCGGTTTTCGCCATAGTAGGATTAGTAAACTCGTTTCCGGGTGTGATAGCGCGCCCCTCCCTCGCCTTCTCTCTCTCCATGAGCCGCTCTGTCACTTACACGTGCGCACATTCGCATCACGTGACCCTGAGCTCCACAATAACAACAGTGGCTCATAAGAGTGTCAATCAATATATGGACATATAGCCGAAATATAAGTATGAAATTATTATTTCTATAGAGGATGAATTATAACCATTTCTGTTTTAATTATTATCATGGACCATTACTTTATGGGCATTTCTTCGTTATGCACTTTTATGTATTTATTTATTTATTTATTTAAATCTTTTAGGGCGTGAAAATGTAAAGTCGATGTCCCTAACTTGTAAAACTCTTGGATGTATTTTAAAGAGTCGTGAGCTTCACATACTTCTGAAAATCCAGCATTTAGTTGATCATGATAAGCACTCATTGTCTCAGTTGTAAACACGATGGCTTTCTTCTTCCATTTTGGTGTCGCAACAGCCATAAAAGAACGCAACACACGTGTCAGATGACAACTTCAAAACTCCCGAAGTGTTTCCAATTTTGTGTGCCATATATTAAAGTCTCAGGCAAGTCATTTTCACTCGGCGGCCATCTTTGAAACGCCTCTCGGGCAGCAGTTTCAGTCACGCAAGTACAGCTCCTACTTCTTCTCCAAAGGTGTTCACCAAGCTTATGATTAAATGTCGAATTTGAAATCACCAATTAATACTGACAACTGTTTAAGACATTTACTTTCTATAAGCTTAAATCATGACCAAAAAACCCCCGGCATTTTTTCAGGCTGGACCAGCCAATGACATGTGCAGCAACCGGAGCTTCGAACAGCAGCTGCAGTGCAATGACTTTACCGATTGGTGATTGGCTCTTTTATTTAGAAGGCGGGACTTATTCAGCCATATTGCACATTGCACTTTCTCTATTATTCATTGTAATGTCTTTATACATCTCAAGTCTTTGGCCAAATGCATCAGACGTTCAGCCAACGGGCATGACCCTGAGGCCGAGGTCCCATTAACGTTCTTTTTTTTTTTTGTGGAAACTTTTTATCATGCACTCATCATTTATTGTTTTTACTTTTAATGGCTTTTATGTCTCCAGTCTTGAAGTATGAAAATTAAGAATATAAAATAAAAATGGAAATATTTAATTATATAGGCTAATAATAATAACTCAACATGTTTTTTTAAAGTGTGGACAATTTTTTATTATTATTTTGTACTCAATTGCAGAAGCTCACCAAGTTCACCAAGTCTGAAAAGCAGTTAGGCATTATAAAACAACTCCCACACAAGCCCTCAGCAAATGCTCTGACATTCCCGGCAATACAATGCAGGTCATCATCACTCTCTCTACAGTGTTTGAAACATGAAAAGTCCAAGAACAAACCCTTTTATCAAATTTTGTTATGTAATTGGTCATATTTGGTAAACAGTAAAACAGAATAAACAGCCTGGAAGCAATAAAAACAAATGATTAAAATCCATGTGCACAACAGATGAAAGAGATGTGCTTAAATATAACAGTTGCTAAAATATCATACATTTCTAAACAAACCACATGGGCAGTTTCAGACATTTTAAGTAGTCAACTTTAAGTTAGCTATACTTTTTCATGGATAACTGTCTAAATGCTTTTATTGGTTATGATTTGGTCTATTGTGCAAACTGTCTGTTTTCAAGTTTGTTCTAAAAGACATGGTCATGGTGAAGCAAACAGATATGAAGGACATTCATATCATTAATAGTGTATGGTGTGTTTGCCTGATTTCTGACACACACACTTATCTTCATGCTGTTTTTATAGCAGGATAACAAAACCAATGCCAAGGTCATGGCTCTTGCAGCTGGACGCTGAAGAGTGCCGGATGCACGTCTACATTTTCACTCAACTGTTAAGTTGGAATAGTTTTAATACATCTTATTAATATTTTTTTAGTTATTTACATTAGTCTTTAATCACATTAAACTGCTTGTGAAAGTGTAGCTCTTTTTACAGTTCGAAATGCAATATATATATATATATATATATATATATATATACACTCACCGGCCACTTTATTAGGTACACCTGTCCAACTGCTCGTTAACACTTAATTTCTAAGCAACCAATCACATGGCGGCAACTCAGTGCATTTAGGCATGTAGACATGGTCAAGACAATCTCCTGCAGTTCAAACCGAGCATCAGTATGGGGAAGAAAGTTGATTTGAGTGACTTTGAACGTGGCATGATTGTTGGTGCCAGAAGGGCTGGTCTGAGTATTTCAGAAACTGCTAATCTACTGGGATTTTCACGCACAACCATCTCTAGGGTTTACAGAGAATGGTCCGAAAAAGAAAAAACATCCAGTGAGCGGCAGTTCTGTGGGCGGAAATGCCTTGTTGATGCCAGAGGTCAGAGGAGAATGGCCAGACTGGTTCGAGCTGATAGAAGGGCAACAGTGACTGAAATAACCACTCGTTACAACCGAGGTATGCAGCAAAGCATTTGTGAAGCCACAACACGCACAACCTTGAGGCGGATGGGCTACAACAGCAGAAGACTCCACCGGGTACCTCTCATCTCCACTACAAATAGGAAAAAGAGGCTACAATTTGCAAGAGCTCACCAAAATTGAACAGTTGAAGACTGGAAAAATGTTGCCTGGTCTGATGAGTCTCGATTTCTGTTGAGACATTCAGATGTTAGAGTCAGAATTTGGCGTAAACAGAACGAGAACATGGAACCATCATGCCTTGTTACCACTGTGCAGGCTGGTGGTGGTGGTGTAATGGTGTGGGGGATGTTTTCCTGGCACACTTTAGGCCCCTTAGGGCCAATTGGGCATCGTTTAAATGCCACGGCCTACCTGAGCATTGTTTCTGACCATGTCCATCCCTTTATGGCCACCATGTACCCATCCTCTGATGGCTACTTCCACCATGTCACAAAGCTCTAATCATTTCAAATTGGTTTCTTGAACATGACAATGAGTTCACTGTACTAAAATGGCCTCCACAGTCACCAGATCTCAACCCAATAGAGCATCTTTGGGATGTGGTGGAACGGGAGATTCGCATCATGGATGTGCAGCCGACAAATCTGCGGCAACTGTGTGATGCCATCATGTCAATATGGACCAAACTCCCTGAGGAATGCTTCCAGCACCTTGTTGAATCTATGCCACGAAGAATTGAGGCAGTTCTGAAGGCAAAAGGGGGTCCAACCCGTTACTAGCATGGGGTACCTAATAAAGTGGCCGGTGAGTGTATATATATACACACAGGCCTATATAAAGTGTAGAGAATTTTTTTTACAAATAGTAAAATTACATAAATAATAAAAATAAGATTAAAAAGGTAAAAAATGACATCAACCCTTTAATGGATGAATTATGAAAACCTCATTTGGGATTTTTTCCCCTGTGTGTTTTTATTGCTCTTATCAGAACATTAGGATGTGATTCCATCAAAGATCTGGTTACTCTGTGGAAAACGCTGACGCTCCCTCCAGTCCAGAGTGTGTGTTAGTATAAGTTAGTAACATGCATTACGTAATCAGATTACTTTTTTGATGTAATGAGTAAATTAACACATTACAAGTAACATGTATTATGTAATCAGATTACTTTTTGATGTAACGAGTAAAGTAACACATTAAAAGTAACATGCATTGCCTAATCAGATTACTTTTTTGATGTAATGAGTAAATTAACACATTATAAGTAACATGTATTATGTAATCAGATTACTTTTTGATGCAACGAGTAAAGTAACACATTACAAGTGGGCTAACATACATTATGTAATCAATCTAAAATCAATACTTGTAAAATTTAACAATGATATGACCCTTAGATGTTACTTGATGTTACAACATTTTATTCTACCTGCAAGAGTGTCCTGGGATAGTAGGAATGGATGGATATTCCGGAGCGACTTCTGACTGGCCGTCGCAATCTTGGTTTGAGAAAACACATTTCACATACAACGGCTTGCCAATAGGTGGCAGTCTGATGCACTAGTGTCCACATGTGTTCAATTGTGTATAGGAATCACATGCATATGAAAGAAATGGCTTTTTGAATAGCGATCCAATGTAGTCCAATAGTATGCAAGAGTTAAAACAAACAAATAAATTAGTAAAATAAAATTAGTTAAAACAAAATTAAATAAATAATACATCTAACAGTACAGTATTAGTACATTACAAAAAAGAAATAATAACGTAACTTAAACTAAATATTTTACAAATAATATTTAAGATATTTCAATAATATTATTTTATTCAGTATAAACAGGGTCTTTATACAAGAAACTATTTACATTTTAGGATGGGGGTCCCTCACACAAGGATGATCATATTTGGGGTCCTTGGCATCTAATATCCACAAGAGGGCAGTATTAATTAACGCAAAGGAGGGCTATAATAGACAAACATGCAGACAGCATGATGCTTTTAGCTGAATTCCACTTTGAGCTACTCACCCTAAAAAACAGTTTTTTTTATGCACATAAATATCATGCAACTCATTGACACTGACAGACTGTGCCCTACGTACAGCAGGACTCATCCTGCACTGCATGCCTCTGTTCTGAATCTGAACATCTTACTGTTGGAGTGTGTGTGTGTGTGTGTGTGTGTGTGTGTGTGTGTGTGTGTGTGTGTGTGTGTGTGTGTGTGTGTGTGTGTGTGTGTGTGTGTGTGTGTGTGTGTGTGTGTGTGTGTGTTTCCTGTCAAGTTGTTCAGTTTAATACTATTACATAAAAAGATGTTTTAAACCTCATCTGAAATTCTTGTAATATGTTAACGGATAAGAATAGATGTTCAGAAGAAGTTGAATAATTATAATGGCATTAACATGATTAACAGAAATGTTATGTGAGTGCATGTCTTGAG